CTTTCACCTTCTGGGAGACACCTACACCATAGGGACTTCTCCAGCACTCTGTTTTCTTCATCAAGCTAGACAGGGACAGTCTCTCCAGGCAATCTGTTATCAAGAGAGAGCCTTTTATGATATATTGAATTGCACAGTGACATCTATCACCTTCCCCACATTTACACTTCAGAAGCAAGTCACCCTCCCACCTCCACTCAAGAGGAGGGTGCCCAGCCAAAGATCAGGTGCTGCGAATCGTAGGAACCACCCTGGAGTCTGTCACACAGCACATCTCTGTTGCCTCTGAGTTTTTAGTTGATAACCATCCTGAACATAACCATCCTTCAAGTTTTAAAATGCAGGACACTATATAAGAAGCCAAAGCTAAACCCAGTTTACATCTGATCTCAAAGTGCATGACTTTCCTACTTCTCTAAGCCATATTTTAAATGTATTATGTCTACACTATAGACTGTACAGACTCCGCTTAAACTGGGTTTCAGATTTGAGCAAGTGCAGAGTGAAAAATAAGTGCACACGTGTCTGAGAGCTCAGTGGTTTCTAGCCATTTACACTGCAGAAATCTCAATATTTTCAGACTCTTAGTTCTAACATCACTAAAAGGGAGTTGATTTGTCATCTATATTCATTGTGCTTGTGGTTACTCTAGGGCTCAAAAGAGACACTGATTATTCACTTGTTCCTGCCATTATTGTTACCAATGTTTTTATATAAAATGAAATGACCAAAACGTACCATAGAAGAAATCCTTGCATAGGCTGTGTTTCACTGCCCCCCCCAAACAAAACAAAACTTTGATGATTTTTCAAGAAGAATTGCACTTGATGATTGGTTTAAACTGCACACATTTGCTTATTGCAACCTTCGTGTCACTTGAGTTTTTAAATTTTTTGTCCTTTTATGGAAGTTGATGCCCTCTCCTCATTTGCTTATGTTTTTCTTCCTACCAATGCACTCAAGCTCATCGATCTGGATAACCTCTGAATCAACCCCTGTTCTCTACCCAAATGTTCCCACCCCTCTGGGCATTTCTGTCCTCAGTTAGGTTCAGTGTACAAGAAGGGCGTGAGAAGGCCGACGGGCAGCTGATCTTTATTCGATTGGCTCCGCATCCCGTTGCCTAGAATAATAGCGAATTCTGGACTCATTTTACAGCCCTGAGCAGTGTGCCGTTCGCGATCGCGATCGACGTCTCTGGAAACTTTGCTTCGCGGCGGCCACCGGGATCCCGGCAGCGCCGCACCGCGGCTGTCCGTCCGCGTCCCGGCCGGCCGCCCTCCCCACCCCCACCCCG